TTTTTGGATTACATTTCTAAGTGTGTAATTAAGAATATAAACAAAAATTATTTTGTTTATGATAAGCTAATTCATTTGTTTGTTACAGGCAAGTTTGATGCATTCAAATAATCAGCTGTTTGATTGATTATTTACAGGCAAGTTTGATAGAGTCGGGTTCTATTGTAAAGGCAGTGGATGCATTCAAAGCTTCAAAGCAAGTGTTTGAAAGTCTCCATGACCTGTATGCAAAGTTTAAAACAGTCATTCTACCGGAGACGATCAAGAATATTCAGTCAGAAGATGTTAGCTTAACTCAGCTGTTTGAATCAATATCTGAGCTTTGTGAACATCCAGACATCCATCTTGAAACGTCATTACGTAAACTGGATCATGCTTTATCCAGCACCTCACTTGGAATGCAGGTATCTATTAACATCCACAATTTTTATGAAGTTACTGTTATATAAACGATTGAATCAACAATTTTTACATTTTGTTTGTTGTTTAATAAGACTAACATTTCTAAAAGTAGGTTCAATAATTTCCGTCAAATAGGTTGACAAAAACAAAAATAGTATAAATATTTGCATACCTTAATAATGATTACAAGTATAATAAAAGTAAAGAGCAAACACTTGCGGACCCACAGGGGTCATAAGAATGGAGCTTATCGGCAGCTTCTGTAGTATGAACCGGATGAAATGAATAAGGTGCTACTCATTCTCTCAAAGCAGTTTGCTGGTGCCTATACAGATACAGCTAGGTAGACTCAAGGACACAAGCAATATGTACCGCCAGGGATTGAAACCCTCCATTTAAAGGCTGGGAACCATCAGATGTTATGCACACAAACAGGCAAACTTAAATAAATTTGTTGTATGTTTGTTTAGATTGATGACTTGAGTATCAATGAGGAAATGCTAACTTTGAGAAGTGCTTACAATTGCCTGCTGCAGCCATGTGAAGTGAATACAGATTCACAACAGCAAGACCTACAGCTGACCATGGGTCAGACTCTGCTTACAGTCATTAACGGCTTGTTTGAAAGTCTTGAATTTAGTCTCAGCAATTTTATCAATCAATTAGATGCTATGAGCATTCCTAGAGAATGGCGGAAGCTTGATGTCATCCAAGAAGCAAGGGCTCTGCAGGTAATCAATATCTCAAAATTACTGGTTTCAGTGGTGGATTGGGGAGGTGGGAGTAAGCATCTTGGCCGGGCTCCCTAAATTTTTCAAAATTATAAAAATTATGAAGAAAAAAAGAAAATTATATTCAAATATAAGTCTGAGAGAGCCATTTCCAGCCATATAGAGGTGTCAAAATCATAATTTTTCTTGCTTCAACCCCAACCATGGTAGGGCTGAGCCTGGGTGGACCCTCTGTCTATCAAAGTTCCTCTCTGGGTCCCCTCTTTTGAATTCCTGGATCTGCCACTGGGTTTAGAATTTTTTAAAGATTGTTTGCCAATTTCCTTTGTAAATTGGTATTTGTACCATCTACCCAATGACTTCAAATATAAAGCTTGGCTTTC